TTCAAGCTGCACAGCTGGAGGCCAGAGGTGCTGAGAGAGCCGTCACACAGGGCACTCGCTGCCAACCACAATGAAAGTCATGAAACAGAAGAATCCCTTTGGAGCCTCTGTCTGAACAAAGTCCAGGCTCATCACCAAGGGGACAATGAAGCCCAGACAGACAGGAAAGAGTAGCCAGGAAGTCTCACTTGGTTCATGGAGATACCAGAGTTATTACTGTTCACACCTCCCATTTGACCTCAGTTCCTGCAGCCTCAGGGTTCCCATGTTCCCTGGTCCAGGCTGCAGCTCAGGGACTGCTACACAGCGCCCTGCAAACCCCTTCGGCTGTCCTGGGTGGGGCAAGCACAGGATGGTACCCTCTCCTCGGCCTGAGCAAACCCATGGCACCTTCCGGAGAGGGGTTCTTAGTCCTCCCTCTGGCAGCCACATCATGTAAGCTACGAAAAGCAAGGGCATCACCTCCAGGGACTGATGGCTGACCTGGGAGCCTGAGGTCCCTGAGCAACAGTGGCCTCCCCAAGTGTTATCGACAAGAGATTCTTTCTCCTCCCAGCCAGCAACAGCAGCTCTGAGTTTCTTGTGTCCCTTTCCTGTCCTTTGCTTCTCTCCCGGGACCTGGTGCCACTGGCAGGGAGGAAGCCATCCCTGGCCACGCATAGGTGCCCTACACTGAGCTGTCTGTCTCTTCAACGAGAGTTTTCCAGGTGGGAGAGGGACGCATGGGGGCATTGGTTCATTTTCAGTTAGCAAAATGCGGTTTCCTGCTTTGGATGCCTGAGCCCCAGAAGAAAGCACGTGCTTTTCCGAGCTGGGAATGAAGGTTCCGAACTGAGTGCATAGAGCATCTATTTCACATAAAGGGACAGAGGAGAGCTATGCTGGACCCATCCACCTGAGGCAGAGGGACCTGCTAGTCCCAGGGCAGGCTGCCCAGGAGCTCAGAACACCCACCAGTGACTCCCTCAGAGCTTGCAGCCTCAGGAAGGCTGGCTCCTTCCTGCCTTCCCTGGGCTCAGTATCACCTGGGGCTCTCTCTGGAAGAACAAGCTGAACTTGCATCAGCTTAATCATAATGAGGGGGCAGGGCCCCTGCAAATTCAACACGTGATCCATTTCAAAGCCAGACACAATTGACTCTGAGATTACTGTTGGGCTTAACAGAGCTATAACCTGTCTCCCTCTATACACAGCGCTCTGGCTCCTGTTCCCCTCCACTGCCTCTTTCTCCTCCTCCCCTCTTTCTTCTCCTCCCAGTCCTCCTCCTCCCTTCCCCCCCTCCATCTCTGTCACCCTCCCCAACTGCCTTCCTGGTCTCTGATCCTGGTTCAGGAAACACACCCATCCCAAAAGCTGTGTTCTCCAATCCTTTGCTCTCCCACCTACCACCAGGCTCCCAGCTGAAGACAAATGGGGCTCCATCAGAGACTGGGTGTGATCCTAAATGTCCAGCTCAGCCTCAGCCAGCAGCTCTCAGACCCCCCAAAAAACAGAGTAAGCCAGTGTTGTGAAGAACTGACTCTGCAGTGCCCTGGGTGGGAGCAGGAGGGCCCTGAAGGGCTGCTTAGAAGTCCCTGGGGATGAGCAGTGTGGCCCCTGGCAGGGTGGGGATTTACACAGCAGGAGGAGAAAGGGCTCCTGAGGTGACCTCAGCTCCTGCAGAGTGGAGTCACTGCCTTCTGCCAAGCCTGAATGCTGGTGTCACAAGGTGCCACTACAGTCCTACTCTTGTGGGCAAAATCCTTGAAACCTAGTCATTCTGATGAGAAGAAAGTTCTGCCTTCCCAAGAGGTCACATCATGTGGGTCTTTGAACTCACAAAAGAGGCCTGGACCCCTCTTCATAGCTCTGCAGCCCCTGATCTCTAACTTGCCTTATTGATAAGGGGTCTCTTTATAGAGATGTATTTTTTATTGAGTTTTTGTAGTTTTACACAACAGTTCTTAATGAAATTTAGACCCCCCCATTCATGCCTCCCCATCCTCCGCCAGACCTCATGTATTCCTCCATATATGTTAAGTCCTATCCATTCAGGCATTTGTACTGTAAGAGTAAAACCACTGAGGACAAGTCAGCCTTCGGGTTGCAACAGCAAGAGGTTTATTAGTACACAGGTACCTGTGGGCACAGAGTCTCCTCGGAGGACTTGCGCGCCTCAGGTCAGGTTTGTGGAACTTTTATAGAGCAGAAGCGAGATACAGAAGCAGAAACGTGGTTATTGGTTAGTTTAAACTATTACAAAATGCTACAGGGAGAGCGGGGAGCTTACTTATCACTAAGCCAGATGTCTCAACCATAAAACTTATTTATCAGTGAGTTGGAGATGTCTCGGCCATGAAACTTACTTATCAGTAAGCCAGATGTC